AAAAAAATAATATTATGGGTTAGGATCTTTAGGAATTCCAAATACAGCCTTCATAAGATGCTTATAGTACCTCTTTAATTAACAACACCCTGACTCTTTTTTTCTGCTTTTGTCACTTCTGTCATTTCATTTCTGTTTTGAAAAGCCATCGACACAGACCACAGAGCTTCCCATTTAACTGTAAATACTGGAAGGACTATAAGAATAAGTGCATTGCTGTCGTTATACGTATAGCACACACTCCCTGTGTTTGTGAAGAATTGCCTTTTGCTAAGTGTACTTGATTACCTGGTCTTTTTATACAGTTCTTTACCAGATCTCTGTGTCTTCAGGTGCTCCTAAGATCTAATTTCTATCCATGTGCAGCTTCATAACCATTCTGTTATTTAGTTTTTGTCTTTCCTGAACTTCACTTCTTTTACAGCATTTTATCAGGAAAATGGAAATGGAAACCATCTCTTATTTTTAATCAAATCTCCAAAAACAGTGTTTATGTTGAAGAGATCACTGGCCTTGAGGAATATAACTGGTGTCTCTGGATAATAGTCTGAATAAATATGAGGCCGGTGTTAACAGAGAAGTCATCCCAACACTCATGTCTCACCCAAGTTCAACAAACAGATTTTGTCTTGTTATGATGGATTTTTACATTTTGTTCATCAGAATCGCAATACTTTGATAATCCTAACAGAAATTATGTTTTTTACCCAAATATATAATGCTTATATTTCACCTTATTCGGTATTTGTAGTTTTTCAGACAACACTCAACGGTTAGAAACCAAAAGCAAAGCAAAGCTTTAGGAGGACCTGGGGCAGATGGAGATTGAGATCTCATCATTACTGCTACACCAACACAGGGAGGATAAACGTGAGTGTGAAATTCACTTCTTTATAGACTAGTATGTTTGTTCAGTGTCAATCCCTTCTGTCTTGAGATATGTGCTCTGTTCCATGATGTCAACCTTATTTTCTCTTTTCCACCCTCGATTTTAGAAAAGAATCTTTTCTCAGCAATCATAAATCATATTTTAACGACAAAGCTACTCTTAAAACTAGTGTTTACACTGCAGAAAACAAGAGGATCCAGCCAATACACTTGACCCCTTTCTATCGTTCCCTCCATTATCAGCGGAGAGCTTCAGCACACAGAGAAACTGTGGGAAAATTAGTTTGGTGGGTGGCTGCAGTGTGCGGCAGCATCCCCCACAGAGAGGTCAAGTTAAGTAATTTTGACTTGAATAGCTCCTTTTAACCAGCACTTGAAAAGAAAAAAAGAAGCTATTTAAAGATGTTTATGAGATTGTCACACAGACAAATTGAAAGCATAATGCTGAGTCATTTTGTACAGACACAATAAATGCATAAATTAAGAGGTTATTAAAATAATTGTTATTTGTATGGCAAAATAAATCAGGGTCCTCATTCAGACACGCTGACATGTGCCAGTGACTTTAGCTTGATGGAAAGGACTAAAAAGGAGCTTTAGTGAGAGCACTTAGTGCACAGAGACGCATAAAGTTCACAGAGGTAAATATCAGAGACAAGCATCATGGAGGTTCTTTCTAAGAGATGTTATGGCATGTAACCAAAATCATGAAAAATAAACCACCATTTTGTTTAATGGAAAGTTCAACCCAGTGGAATAAAAATAAAGCCATGTGCCTTTAATCTGCTGAACCATCAACAGTCGTCTTATGGTAGCTTCTGGTTTGAGCTTATGCATTTAGCCGTTTGAGTGAGACTTCCATTAATGTAAGACTTGGCACAAATGGAGCCAGACAGACCAAGATTAGATACAGCAATTGTCTAAACATGTTTACAAGTTGCACTTTCCTTCTGCAAATATACTGCAAAGTCATTTATGAGCTGAAGTCACACATGAATATGTAATAACAAGCAAGGTAAGAGACACAGGTCATTAAATGTAAAACAAGAAGGAAATGAATCCAGTGAACTGCATCATATGAAATTCTTGCAAAAAAAAAAAAGGTGTGTGTGTGTGTGTGTGTGTGTGTGTGTGTATCCTGGTGGGGACCAAAATTGGACATTTATTATTCTGGTGGGGACTTTCTGCACCGTGGGGACCAAAATCCAGGTCCCCTCGGGGTTGAAAGCAATTTTCACACTCAAAATGTGGTTTTAGTGTCAGGGTTACAATTAGGTTATGGTTAGGTTTAGGGTAAGAGTCAGGGTTAGGCATTCCTTTTTGATGGTTAGGGTTAGGGTAAGGGGCTAGGGAAAGCATTATGTCAATGGGATGTCCCCACGAGGATAGCAAACCAGACATGAGTGTGTGTGTGTGCTCTTTGCAAAAGAAAATTAACAATTACATACAAGAAATCACAAACCACCATTGAAGAGTCAATGAGGCTGAAAAGCAGGAAACCAGCTGTAACTAAAATCACCCCGCAGGTACGTGTATGTCACTTAAATCTGAGAATGAGAAGTTTTGCAGGTTTTCTCAGTGAAGACAGAAGTTGATTAAATCAAAACACTTCCTGCCATTTCAGTGACACTAGAAATACAAAAGAACAAAGGTGGGGAAGGCAGGCAACTCCTCAGTGACTGAGATTTTAAAAAGCATCCTCAGAGTGTAGTTGAAAAATTGTCTCTGACCTCTCTTTTTAAACTACTGTCAACATCAGGATTAGCAACAACCTGTTTAGTTCAGTTGGAGTGTCTTTTTGTGCCATCCTTCCAGACAGGTGAACACTTCGGTCTTTGTTCAGGTGACAGCCAGAAACACACGGGTTATGCACTAACCTCATAATATCCCAGACTTCCCATACACTTTCACATGCAGTTTTTCAGCTCAAGTTGTGCTTCCATCCAACATGACTGTCAAATATTCTGAGCATTTTTTTCAGATTCTTTATACACTAATTTTCTTTACACACTAAAATTCATTTAGTTAAAATGAGCAAAAGAGACACGCTGCTTTGATCTACCATGGTTTTACAAAAAACTATTAGGCTGGTCTTTATGCCTGTCTATTTATCTTGTCCTGAACTAACTTTTGCTCTCATATTCCACTCCTCGCCTTCTTTTTGTCACTCCTCCCACGCCCTTAGATCCCGCGGCGTCCTGTTGCGTTCACCAGAGCTCTTGCTACGAGTCTTCCTCGCGCTGTCCTGTGCTTGGCGGTACTTCTCTATCATGCTTTTGTGTTTCCTCCTCAGCTTGTCATTGCACCACATCCTCTCGCAGTACTCCTCCACGTGCGGCAGATTCGATGGCCCGATGAGCTGCATGATATCCTTGAACCATATGCGCGATTGGCCGATTTGGCTTGATGAACCGCCCCTGCTGTACGCGCTGCAAGGCATCCAGGCTCTGAAAGTCCCTGTAGACCGATCTTTGATTGAGTCAGAGTTTCCTGTGTGTCCACGCGACATGAGCTCATCCACGGTCTCCCCTTGGAGGACTTCGAGGGTGATGCGGGCCAACGTCTGCGTGAAGCCGTGCTCTCGAGAGCGGCAGATGTAGACGCCTTCATCTTGGTGGAAAAGGTTACGAAACAGGAGACCCTGATCCGTGGACATCACACGATCGTCTAGCTTCACCTAAGTGTGGCAGATAGAAAATATGTGTCTGATATTTGATACAACAACATATTAATGACCTCACTAAGTCAATTCAACCATCACTGCTTTTCACTTGAAGTTTGCTTATGACTCAGCTTCAATTTGTCAAGTCATAATGATGCAACGTGATGGAAATAACTTTCACAGATTTGGTTAAATCTCCACTGACTAATGCAAAGAGCTACATGTGCTAATTGAAAAAGCATGAAAAAGTTAACTGGCACTTTATATATAACTGCAATCAGACCCTTAACCTAACATTTATCTTTTTAATTTATTGCTATATATATATAGATTTGTTGGTTGGTTGGTTAATTCTTGATTTCTGTTTAAAGTTTTAGGATTTCTGTCCCTAAAGGAGCAGAAATTTCTAGTTCTGACCAGGATTTGACCTTAAATAGCACATGTTTCTCAGCGCAAATACCACAGAGGCATTGTTCTTTAAAGAACTAAACACTGACGACTGCCCAACAATGTGTAAACACAGTACAAAGAAATCAGGACAAGAAAGCTTTCAGTCTTCACTTCACATTATGAGAAAAGAGAAAGGGAGAACTGTTTGTATTGTTTTCTCAACTTGGTTTGCAACATCAAAAATATATCATGGGATCAGTCACTGTTTTTATTTTTTATTTTTCTTTCCTCACATTCTCTAATCTTTCCATACTGCCACCCAAAGTCTCTCTGCCAACCCTATTCATTTCTACATTTTCCTCCATCTACCTCCCAACTCCCTCGTCAGATCCTATCTTTCAACCATCCTTTGATGCCAACAAAAACATGGTAGCCTTGTCAGATAGAGTGGCAGCCAGATGTTTATTTGCAGGGAAATGGAGAAGGGTGGTAATGCTTTAATACTTGCATGGCTGACCACGACACTCAGTTTAGCTTGGAGGAGCATGACCTCAAACGGTTGAATGATTACTGTGGGTTTGGGCACACAGAGCAACATAATTTTCTGACTTAAAAAGAAAAGAAAAAAAGACTGTATTTAAGTCTCAGTGACCAGCAGACAGTGAGTGACACTTTCAGTGGCATATGGTCAAGTTTTGCAGAGAATTCACAGTTTATGGAAGGGAGAGAGAGAATGATTGGGCATTTTGCTTTGAAATGCAGCTGCTTAATTTCAACCACATGCCAAATGGTTGTCAAGTGTATCAACCACGTGCCAAACTCACACTCAAGTCTAACTTTTAAAGGCAATTACTCAGAACATTCTTTGCCAGAAGTTTTATTCCACCCCTTGACTGTTTGCCAAAACTTTCCCACCTTCATCCTATTTTGGATGCAGTGACATCGACAGGCCTTTTATTGTGTTGATTCGAACCTGAATGTTGTTCACTGGGAATCTTACCTCTTCCTTGTGGTCATCACGTTGGACCAGCCAGGTGACAGTTGCTTGTGGGGAGCGAGGAACACACTCTAGGAAGGTGCTGTTGTTCTCAGTACCAAAGACCACTCTGTCTTCTGTTACATCAAGGTCTTCTTTTTTTAAACAGAGAGTGACAAATAGTTTATTAAAGAATGAAATCCATCCATCCATCCATCCATCCATCCATCCATCCATCCAACATCTTCAGTCTGTCCTGGGTCCAATCATCTCAGCTGGTTTCTTTTGTGGCAGAGGACAGTGACTCTACATTCCTTCCTTCCTGAATGACTGAGCTCTTCACCATTATCTGACAATGTGAGCCCAGACCTTTGAAGGGAAGTACTACTACCTATATCCAGGTTACATTCTCCACAAGGACACCTTCTACTGTACAGCATTAACAGAATGAATATAAACATAAATATAAAGACTTGAATATTAGGTGTGTAGTCACAGACAATATAGTGAATAAAATAAAACTCTGACTGACTTAGTCAAGAATTTGTCATGTGACTACACATAAACAATGAAGAGATGGAATTTGAAGACGTCTGCCCCTTGAACACTTATGTAAACAACCTCACACTTGGGCACAAAGAAACCTTGGTTCACCAGGAGGGTGTTAGGGAGGCATCTTTCATCTGTGCACTCCCTTACACTGTGTGCCCTTAGGTAAGAAAATACACACACTCTTTCTATCCCAATTCTCAATGATGTAATTCCTTTTTCTTGTCTGTCTTCACATTTTCTCACCCTAATCTCCAGTATCAACTCAGCCATTTTCTGCCAAGAACTCAGTATGTTAGCTGATATTTCTACTTCACAAATCCCAAAGCTTACACTATGAGAACTAGTTTTAAATGAATCCTAGGTTGTTTTCTGCATGCACTAACATATTGTAAAACCTTTGTCTCATATACTTGGCAAATATGTCTCAGTCACATGAGTAAAAATAGGACAGCTTACCCTGAGATAGTATTTTTTGTAGTCAGAGACCAACTGCAAATAGTTGAGATGACCACTTTAATTTACAAGCTGATTGTACAGGTTACCTGGTGGGACCGGTCTTCAAACAATCACAGTCCAGCTTAGACTGGCTGGACTCTTAAATAACTGCAGTCCAATGTATAAACACAGACAGATTGCCAGCAAGTTGCAACCAGTGTGAGTCTGTCTGCACTGAGATGCAGACTGACTCACCTGACTCCACTCATCTGTTTTGCAGTAGGCGACTTGATTCATAGTTGTTATCTGGTTATATTCCTATAAAGTTAGAAGCAAAGTTTCCAATTTTCCATTTGAAAACAGATAAAATGTTTGTTTCACATCTGCCAGCTCCTTATTGGACTCTGCATGTGACTAGTTAATGTTGATTTCTATGCAGGGTAACAAGATTTAATCAGAGTACATGTAACTGACAACTTAACCATTTCAACTAATGCAAACAGCTTGATGACTGACTCTGATAGCTTTTCATTTTATTGCTACACCAAAGTTCCTTTGAAGATGGCAACTGACTGGTCACTGACATGGTAAAGCAACCATTTCAAAGGCAATGAGATCAAATTCATTGGACCGAGAATCATTTTGGTTGAGCTGCGGTCTTCAATCACTGTTTTAATGACCTCCTACTGTAATCGCTATGGTTGTCATCCTGTGGAAGAAGTCTCACAAACATAATCTGACCCAGACAGGCACAACCACGTTCATTCATTCTTTCAAACTAAAAGAAGCTGGCCTTTGATTTCTAAAGAGATGTGCAGTATACGGGAGACTGACATCTCACTGGTGTCCTTCCTGTCTACTCCTAAATCTCTTAAAATCAGTGAAAAGAGGTCATGCATTTTTTAGCTGATTGCCACTTTGATGTGGAATGATCAGCAACTAAAAATGTTTTTCTGGGTTGTCCTACAAAAGTCTAAAATATTGCCATACCTTACACTTCGTTAAGACGCGGTTGTAGCTAACATAGTTTAAAAACCACTCCGTCTCAGGTTTCAGCTCTCCCATGATGGATTGGTTAACCACTAGTCCATGATGTCATGTGGGTTCCTTTTTTAATCATGACAGCTAGCCCTACTAGAATATGAAAATATCAATTTAGTAAGATTTTGTTTATCCAGTGATTGTAATGCACACTAGATGACAAAAACAAAGACTACTTGATTCAGTGAAGCCCAGTCAATGAAGGGGTATGTGACAGATGATTCAATTGTTTGACTTTCAGAGAAAAGCCTTACAGTGGTTACTTCAAGAAGTCACTGTGGCCAGTCCCACATAATCAACAAAGAAGAAACAAAGCAAGGGGCAGAGTTACAGCCAAGCTTACCACTGAGATTCTGATCCACACACTGCAGTGCAGGGTTTCCATGTCTAATGTCCTGTCTGCGGTAGCGTCGTTTGCTGTTGGGAATGAATCGCGCACAGGACGATCCATCCCATGCACAATAAGGGTCTCTGGCAAGACAGCATTCAGCACAGGCTTTCCCGTAAGTCTCACAGCGATGGAGCTTCACCTGCGCCACACCTAGTGGAGAGCTCGCATACAAGGCTTGCTGTTTGAAATTACGAGGAGAAAAAAGGAAGTAAGGCATCATGTAGACAACACTGCATGTCAACTGACAGAAGCAGGCACTGAAAGTAGCAGCTACAGTTGGATTAACTCACCCTTTTCACAGATATATCCAGTGACGTAATTGGAGTTGGCACCTGCAATATTGAAAATAATTAACTTCAGTTGTTGCGCTTAGAGGCTTAAAGAAGAGTTGAAATTGAAGAGCAGAATCATAGATTTTACAATTCATGAACCAGCTTTTTGCACAATTCTTGCATACTATCATCTGCAAATAAATCTTAAAAGATAAAGTAAACGAGATGCTACCTATAATGATAACACGTTTCTGGAATATGGATGAATCCTACAGTACATCATCACAGAGTGTATATTTAACCTACTCAATGGAATAAGCCTTACTTTAAAGACTTGTAGCTCCTCTAGTGTGACTTCCTCTGTCTCTAGACTGTTTCCATTGTTTAGTGCAATGACCTTCAACACTGTGCCAATATCTGAAAGAGAAGCAGAAAATTTAAAGGGCTACAGAACAGACATAGTGTTGTCTGCTCCAATAATTCAGCGTCTGTGCTTGGATGGCTAAATTGGACCTGGATGACTAAAAGTTATGGAATAAAAATGCACCTACCTGTGCCAATAAACATGACATCATACTGCCCGTCCTCCGCCTCAACACGATCCACCACTATTTGTTTCAGCTTATAAGGAATGTTGGCCTTTACAAGCACAGGGCGACGAAGGGCTGGATACACCGGCCGCCACATCAACGGGTGGCTGCGGGCAAACTGCAGGACTGAATCGGGGAAGTCCTTTGTGCTGCCAAACTCCCTGCCAGGTTGGTTGATGATTTTACTGGGGCACTGGAGAGATATGAGGGAGATAAGAAAGACATAGAGAAACAAAGGAAAAGAGAGAGAAACGAATGACGATAGCTGGAATTCAGTCCATAGAGAAAATTGTTGTTTGGCTAACTGATGGTACATTTGAAGTGAAGAAAGTGGAAGGAGACATGGACAGGCAAACAGAATCACGACAGAAGGAAGAAATCTAAATTCTCGCCTTTTCCACGTTGACTCTAAATTCCCAGCATTTTCTTGCATACAGGGGGTGTTGCTTTCGGTAAGAACTGTGGGCTAATTATTGTGTAGAAAACTTCTCAGAAAGCCCTCATTAAGAGTTTTATTGTGCCTGAAAACTTTGGATGAAAGTTCAGAACCACTGTTGCAGCTTTATGTGGGTGGTAGCAGTTTGTTTGCCAAAAAACAAAGAAAAAAATCCAGTCATTTGTGTCAGTGTAACAGTGAGAAAATGAATGTGCTAGGAGATTCTGTAAAAAATGAATAGTGCTGAAAACAGTCCAAATGAAAGCATTTATATGACCTATATGGTCTCTGGGTTTGTTTATTTGATTTAGATCTGCAGTTCTCCACGAAGCAGCTTAAGGTTTTGGGACACACACTGACAGTTTCATTAATCTTCATTGCAACTCTTTTACATTAGATTTATGGGTGAGAAAATGCCAGTCATCAAATACTTGACCCCTCCCTCTCTGCTGGTGGTCAAAACCACTGAAAAGCAACGGCTTTTTCTGCGCTTCCAAAGCTGATTTACCTTCTTCAATCTGTCAGTTCGTTTAGTTTTCTCTTAAGCTTTGATGGCGTTCCTGTCACAGTTAAAGGATGATGCAACCTGCTGTGGCTCTTATTAAGTTCAAGTACTTCAACAATAAGCAAGTACAGCTTGACCTCTTCTTTACAGAGGTCTTTACTTTCAAGATAAAGAAAAGAGGTTCACAAGACTGCAGTCTGGATTTAATATACAAATGGTCACCAAAGACAACAAAAGAGTACTTAGTGGCTCGTTTCAATAGTGTTACTTTATTGAAGTGCAAGTGCTGCAACCAGTTTGTATAGATTTATATTTTTTTCATCAGTTCAGATTGCTCAATTCAGTTGAGTTTTTATTTCTGGTTGAGTTAAGTTTCATTTGTTTCAGGGTAACTGGAGGTATTATGACACAAACATGTGTAGAGATACCAGTATCCCCAATGCTTTTTATGTTACAGAATAAAGACTATAGACTATCAGATCCTCTGATTATTTGAAGTTTGGCTTCTCTATGCTGAAGACAGGTTTGACATTTAAAGACCAAAAAAGGTTGCAGTAGTAACGGTTTTGCCAAAAAATCTTAAATTGAGGTTGAGAAATGGAGAGAAATTAAATAGAGATTAATGAACTTAAACATAACGGATTCATGAGAGTCCAGTTTCGTATTTGATCACATTATAATGGAAGGTATGGTATTGTTATATTGTATTGCGTGTAATTGTCTTTCCAGACTGCACTTCCATATGGAGGAAATATAATTACTACTGCTTATCACAACAGTAACTGATCCACACAATAGCTCTGGAATGGCATAGATCCAGTTTCAGAGGGGGGATTTGAGCTGTGCAGGGAGGTTACCCTCAAATATGCACAAACTATCGATGCATAATTTTTCTGAGCATGCTTTCCAAATCACACTGGTTATAATTTATTCCAGAAGATGTGGAATGTATAAGCTAAATCCTTCAAAGAGAATAACGATAACTCACAAACTTCAAATGTTTTTCATACAGTTTTAAATGTGAATGCATGACATTGTTGTAAATTGTTCTAGCATACCTTCCAAGCACAATTTCAAATATGGAGCAAAATCAACTGGTGGCATTTGTATACAGTAAAATTGACGCCACACTTAACCCTGAACATGGTTTCTGAACAGAAATAAGTGTCAATCTGTTTTTTACCTGCTCAGCTTACACGTTGAACATTAAATGCTTGTGCAGCAGAGAAAACTTCACTAATGTGTCTCCACTCATCTGTTTGCACTTCAAGTAAAACCTAAACTGAAAAACCCAAGTTAATACTCGACCTATCTAAACTTTGCTGCAGCAGCTGAACTGCCTTATGTCTCCATTTAAAGCCCAACAATAAATAATGAGAAGGAAATGATGTATGTTTGACAGACACCTATTAATTTATACTACTACTGTATATGTTCACGTGTCAAGCATATGTTTTGTAAGTTTAAATCCTAATGAATCACCTGCATTTTCACCCCTTTTTGACCTCGAAGGTAAAAGAAAACCAAAAACAATACTTCATACTAGATAGGTTGGTGTGGGCAGATATGGGCTGATTTAAAGCATTACAAATATAACTTTAATGCCAAAAAGTATGGTTCATCCCATCTGACTTCACTGTTCTATAAAGATCAAGAATTAAGATAAAGTTCAAGATCAAATCTGAGGCTTTCGTGATGAAAATTTCAGTCAAGATGGCAAAAAAAAAAAAAAAACAATTCCGGAAAACGTAAGGTTAATAAATCCATCAAATTCCATATCTGTGCCTTGGTAGGATTACCTCTACAGCTTTAGTAAAACTGTAATAAAAAAAGATCCCCCCGTCATTTGGTCTGCTGGAAACAATTCTGGTGAAGTTTAAGCACAGGAACATCTCAATCCAAGATAAATATCTTGAGCAGATAAATCAACTAAATCTGAAATTAACTTCCATTTTCCATTCTTTTATGTTTTGACAGGTGACTTAAGAGACGATGATGGGTAGGATGAGGCTTAAATCTGTTTCAATGAAAAATCCATGGAAATAAAAAGGTCTTTAGTGTTCTGTCGGTGCAAGTGAAAAAGAACAATGTAGGTTATTGTAACTGAGTTTAAGAAGAGAGGGTAACAATTTTAACTGCAACCAAATATCAAGCCAGGAAAAAAAAGCAACCTCACTCTTCCCACCATCTGTGCCTCCTCCAATCTGCCCTGAGCCATCACCATTTTCTTTCTCCTTCTCTATTTCCTTTTTCCTTCTCTTACTCGCAGATTAAGGCCAAGACATTCCTGTTAATCAAAGAGCCAGTGCGGAGAAACCACAGAGGTGTCTGCTCTGTTCTCACATAATTCATTTTCCTCCTGCCCCCATACTCTCCCATTCGCTATGGTAATGATGCTGCCTACACATGTGTTTGTGTGTATAACAACACTGAGTTACAGCGATGTGGCTGGGAGAACTTGACAGAGCTCTGCTGAGTGTCAGGATGTTAACCAGAAGAAGGGTCTGCACTGCGTACAGTCACCACAGCTGCACCGCCGTATACAGTAGTTTAGTTTACTGACACGGAAACTTTCTACACCCCATCCTTAATGTTGTGATAGCTCCACTTTCCCCTCGGATTCAGTACACACAGGAGCCGAGCAACTGTTATTATATATATACACACCATTGCAGTCCTTTTTTTTTTGCAAAATAAGTAATGAAAGAAAAAATTGAAGTGTCAAACCACAATCAGATATGTTTCAGCTACTGTACGGGAGGTAATTTGCAAATGTTATGAGTAAGCTTCAGTTAAGTCAGTTAACCAACAGTCAAGTTTTACTATTACTAGCTTTTAGTAAAGTTTATATATAAAGTTTATATATATATATATATATATATATACACTGAATGCATCGAGATCAAGCACTGATGAGCTGGTCCTGATGTTTCTAACAAGAGAGAGAAGAAATGTACGTTAATCCATTCATTTCTTCATCCAATTCTCACAAGAAGTCAGCAACAGGGGAAATTTTAAGGTTTGATCTCGGAGTTGAAGATGTATCACGACTGAAGTGTTATTGGGGCAGTTTGAACTGTTGCTGGCAGAGATGGGACATCATCTGAGGAGGCAGAGGAGTCATTGACTCAATTGGGCCAAACTAATTGACCTGGATGGGGTAAAATACTATGATTTTAATATTTGTATATTCAATAGCTTGCTGCCAAATGCAGTGGTCTGAGTTGTCTGATCTGTTTATTTGGATATGAAAAATCAGAAAAATCGTTCTTGGTTCGCAAATTCGGCCATTGAAATTATGCAGTCATTGTGAATAACAACATTAAGAATGGGTGATTCTAAAAAAACAAAAAACAAAATGAAGACCTAAGCACACCTGACAATAACAATTAAGTGAGGTGTCTGCATTCAGAAAGTCTTTGCAGTTGGTTTGCCAACACTAGTTAGGCAGATTATAGAGACAGATTCTGAATTTCATTAGAAGTTATGAGTATTTGCTCATAATGTTGGCATCAATAACATGTATTACGTTTTTGGGAAGCACAGCAGGGTCACTGGTATGGTTAATGCTGGGCAGCAACAATGCTCAAGGAACTTTAAAATTAAAAATGATACATTTGGATTGCAATCACTCACCACGCCTGGTCTTGGATAAGGAACCCTGCCTTCATAAGCACCCCATTGGTAGTCAGGACCTTCTTTATGTGCAAAAGGTCCATTGAAAACTTCTCTGATATCAGTCATGCGGTAAACACACACAGCAAAGCCCTGGAATACATTACTGTAAAGAAGAGAATGTAAAATGTACAGTTTTGGAATATAACATATCCAAAAATCATGTTACCGAGTCGTACAGATGTTGAGTGCACATTATTTTGAAAGCTGAGCTCTATGCGTGTTTACCTGATGGTACTAAAGATTGCATAGACATCTGGGTTCCTTTCATCCTTGGTCCTCATCAGGAAAACATCCTCTGTTTTATCAAAAGACAGAGTCAATGTGTGCGTGGGAGTATAAATATGTGCAGATATGATACACTGTAACCAAGTGCAGGATCATATGGAAATTCTTATGTGTGTGTGTGTGTGCGTGTGTGCTTTAATGTGTCTCACCAAGTTGGTTGAAGTGAGTATCTATTCCGTGAGGTCCTGGTACAGAACAGACAAGTCTGGCTTTGATAAAGGTGCTCCACTTATTGACCAGCACTCTCTGACCGCCGACATCATTCTGGCTCAAGATACAGAAAATCAATCTATAAAGCACAGCTGCGTATTTATTTCCAAACACAAATCATTCATTGTTTTGGCTCTTTACACCACCTCGCTGGATGTGAAGTGAAAGATGATGAAAGTGCTGAGTTTCAGCTTTAGCGTCGAATTAGGATTTTCTGATCTCCAAGCAAGAGATCTACTCATAGCTCCTTAGTTTATGTGTATGTGTGAATGCGTATAATGGTGATCAGCTTTGGTAAAAAGCTTTTTGGCAAAAATCAGTATAGGAGTGTGGATGACATTTGTCTTGGAAAGAATTGGAGGCCTGAGAAGGAAATACTACTTGTATGAGGAAGAAAAAAATAAAGATGGAAAAAGGTGAACACATGAGAAGGAGAAAGAAAGTTAGATGGTGAAAGTTTAAGTGGGTTTTTGCCCGAGTGGTTTATCCAAACTTTACTGACACAGTCTATCAAAATCAATGGAAACCCCAGCAGCTGTGTGCGTGTTTTTGTGCTTGTGTGTATTTGTGTGTAATATTGTATGCATGCCTGTATTTGCATGTGCCGTTACAGTACAGACATGGGTTTATAAGGCAAATCATTGCGTGAAAGAATGTTACGGAGCGTGTAGGGCAGATGGAGATCATTGTTGGGAAATCTGACAGCTGTGTGCATTTTGGAAGGAGAAACATTTCATATACTTCTAAATTTCACGATCAACCTTGGGGAAAGTAAATATTTGATCGCCCCAAAAGAAATTTGTCTTTTCCACAAGGTAGTTGAAGACTGACATAATAGGAGGATAAACCCATAAAACCATTACCTTCTGTCCTGGAAAATTAATTCTGCAGACATCTGTATGTGGCCATACACTCAGAAAGTCCCTTGAGTCAAACTTTTTGCTGTACAGTATCTAGCTCAGTGTTTCTGTAGCTTATCAATGACTCAAAATATGAGACCTTTCATGACTCATCTGGTGCTCCTTTGCAATCTCATCTTCAAGTGAAATATCCCAACAGATGTCTCATTCCGGGGACAGGATATTTGAATGGCCTCGAGGAAGTGCATGTCTAGCTCACCTGAACATCTGGCTTCTCTCATCCACACCTATCAACAAACCATCTTTCAGTGTTTCAGCATATGTAAGTATCAGTTTTTGTGGATCTCCTGAGTTAATGAAACTTTGTTTTTCTGTCTTTCTGTGGCATTATGATGCGATATGCACGATGCTATATGTATTTTATCAATGCTTAATCCTCTAATAATGCAGTTTCTTGTGTAGTTGTAGATATCTTAAAATGTCAGCAACAAAGCACTTTATATTTTAAGGTAAAGGCCGTACAATAATAACCAATAGAAAACCCCAACATTCAAATGTCCCCTCTATGAGCAAGCACTTGATGACAGTGGGAAGGAAAAACTCCCTGTTAGCAGGAAGAAACCTCCAGCAAAGCCAGGCTGAAGGTGTGGCGGCCATCTGCCACAACCGGTTAAGGGTGAGGGGAGGAAGATAGGGGAAAAACACACAGTGGAAGAGAGACAGAGATTAATAATAAACACACACATAGTGAAAAGCCTGGGTCTGTGCACAACGGGCTCTATTGAGGTGGCTTTTACAACTTAAATTCTAAACCTTAACGGAAAAATTTACATCAAATATAAAAAGCATTATGGAGTATCTTACCGCACACACTCGTCCAACTCGTGTGTGTATGGCCCCCTCTGTTTCTCCAGACTCTGTGGCCTTCTCAGTGAAGAAGAAATACACCTTATCATTGTCCCTGTCATCATTATCCGGGATGAGGTGGGCTGCAATGAACTTGGGATCTGCAAGATGGAAAAGAGTCGCATGTGGGAGTATGAGTAAATCACTTTGATCTTTATTTCAGCATCTTTATAGTAAAATTTTGCATATTTCTAACAGACTTCCTGTTGTTTGTTTGTACTTCTTGTTGACTATAATTGTCCTATATTGTCATTGTATTGTAGAAACGCTCGGGAAAGAGTGAAACATTACCATGAAGGAGTTTCTGGTCAGTCTCTGTCCTCATTGTGGAGCGACCACCCATACTTCTGAATATCACAGAGTCTCTTCCCAGGAAATCTGCTGTCAGTCCTGTATACAGCTCCCCACCTACAGAGAGACAGGAAATGTTTAAAAGAAGGGGGGAAAAAGATGATGAGAAGAGCAGAGTTTACAGAAAATGGTTGCAAGAATGTAAAAAGAGGGTAATTAGTAAATAAAAAAGGAAAGGCAGCCAAAAATAATGGGTGAGTTTGAGGTTTAGTTAAATGAAGAACATAGATGCAGGACAGGAAAGAAGAAAATGAACAAACCCAACACAGAACACACAGGGAGTGTAATTTGAAACTTAAGCATCCTCCACTAAGACCATCAGTAGTGGACCAACTTTAACGTTCAGCCACTCTGAAAATTCTTGCAAATGGAGATAAATAACAAAATCTCTCTTCCAGCACATTTTTCACAATATATTTTGGGAAATCCTCAGCTGTTGGAGGTTATCGGTCACAAGACAAGACAGCAATCCCAAACGCCTATAAAACAACCCACTGCAACTATCACATAATGAAGAATTATAAGAGTGAGTTTTTCATAGTGAAACTGGGTTGTTTTCAAAAACACAACTGTTTTTAATTTTTCCCAGCTGGTGTAGAAACTCAATCTGGTGACAGACTGCTCTCATGTGACCTTGTGGAAAGTGAAAATTAATTCTTCTTATTTTATTTGGCCATGATAATGGTATTAGAAATGCACAGATACTTCTTTACCGTACAGCGAGACACGCATGCAGTCAAACCTATGTGGTAAGACATAATCAAACGTGCAAATATAAACGCACGGACATCATAATGCTTGCTGACAGGTCGTGGGGAATTGAGGTTTGCGCGTTTTGGGAAAAGATCCTAAAACTGAGGAGGAGAGATCATTGAGCTGATAACTGATGAAGAGGATTTTCATCAGGTTTTTATTGTTTCATTCTCAGCGTCTCTGTTTCTCTTTATCTTTCTCATCCAGGGCTGCAGAGTGTCGGTCGAAGCTCTGTATGTGTATTTGTTGTTTCTTTCTTTCAGTATTTGGTTATGGCTTTAGGGATACAAAAGAAGAAGCTTTAAGGCAAAGAAGAAAACATGCATAACAAAACCTTGTGGTTTTGACCACTAATGATCACTGAGGCCAGCAGACCGACTGAAAGTCAAATTCAGTCCCGTAACAAGAGTCTGAATTCAGTCTGTCATCAAACACATCCTTGCTGACCCAGAGTGGAGCTGGAGATATGCTGACTGCATTTTTTAGATTTTACCATTCAAATTGATGATGAATCCTAAACCTTTCACAAATTATGAGCCTCTACCAGCATGTACAGTATGCTTTCGTCTCTATCTGTTACTATTTCTATGACAAATGCTTTTGTGTCTCTTTTTCTGTATGCATGTGACCGCTGCAGTATCACTGCAGATGTCCAAACTACTATTTGGCTCTAATTTGCGGTCTTCCTGCCAATTACAGTGCACTGAGGGATGCATTCTGATGCTGAAAGCGCCCAGCTGTGGAGCCAGAAAGGGATGCATACGTGCACACACTCACACTATATATATTTCCACCCTTAGTGGATCCTGGGATTGTGTGTCATTGGCATAAATCAGCGTTATTTCACAAGCCCCAGTAAATACCTCGTGACATTTAGAGAGAAACACCCAGAACTTTTCAACCTTGTCCGGGGGGTGGGGGGTTAAATAGTCAGATGCGGCAAATGAATTAACAGCTGTGCCACAGAGGCTTATGAAATTGATATTTTGTTGTGCAACCCCTTTGACGGAAAATGCTAGAACACCCCCTACTGGGTCTTTAACCTACTCTCTCTTTTTTGGCATGTTTACCTTTACTCTGACAGCAGAGAGGCAGACAGTAAACAGGAAAATGAAAAGGGGAATTGACACGTGCCAGAGCAGTCTGTGTTTTAAATGTTTGGAATATGTCAGCGTTATTGCTGTACGACAAAACATCTAATGAATCTTAAACGGGTGCCCTCGCCATATGGCTTCATAAACCACTCAGGAAGTTGTTTAGAAATGTAGGCCAAACAATACGGGACATACCACTGAAGGTGCTGGCGAAGGGGAAGCTGGGGTCATGTGGAACTCTTCCTCTACCATTTTCCACATTTACAGGGTCCATTGTGAACACGTGCTGGGGAAGGAAGACACTCAGTTAGTGTTTAATTCCTCAAGTATAGCTGATATAATGTATCAGTGCATTGATGTTTATTTTCTCTTCAAAACAAATAATACCGTCTTGCTTCAAAACTCAACGTAACACCTGAGATTAATTATGATTCTGAGGAAAAGCTCAGCAGCTATGTCTCCATAGCAGAGCAAATTGGATCTTGTATAAAGGGTTAATTTTTTAATAACTGAAAGGCCATTGTTCTTCCCCTCTGTCCCATTGTCGACACAAATAAAAGAGACCATGGGCTGGTTTTAGTTTCACCGGGTGTAACATTTATTTGTCCTTTCAGCGAACCCGGCGACCGTCTGAGACTGACGGCGCTGTCTGAGATAAGAGGAAATGCAGGATCAGAGCAGTTGCCAGGGTTCAGAGAAATTTCCCACCCTGTTCCCAGTGCAGATTATTCCTTAGAGCTGTGGATTTCGAAAAGCCAGGAGGGTAATAAAGGGGGGGGACAGTCCGTAAAACACTTATTAAATAGACTTAAAATGCAAACTTTGTCAACAATAAAAAGAATTGCTTCAATCCTGAGATCATAAAACTCAGTCAACACATACTCTGCAGGGAAAAACAAGCAAAAATATACAGCCAAATTCATGACATGAAAATATAAACAGTTTTTTGAGTCTGTGGCCAGATGATAGACTGAACCGTACACCATGTTCATTCAAACCTTTCCTATTTCATTTATTTTCATAACAGCAGCATATCTTGCTGCACAGCAACTGCTGTTTTCAGCAGCACCAACAATAGTCTGAAACAAGGCGACAAGAGTCTGCAGCCACATCAGCTCCTTCACTCACTCCAAAAACAGTCTGTGCTGGAAAAATGTAGGAAGCATGAATGTGACATCACTCTATATTGCATGTTGGGACAATGGCTGAACTTTGTGATGAAATCAAGTTGTTATCTGACCCACTACAGATTTACTGCTTACCTTTGTTTTGTTTGGCTAAAAAGTCTGTTAATTCAGTCAAAATCAAAGCCTGTCTCCAAAAAGGCAGAAGCAAGGCATCGTGTGTGCACCGTGACAACACCCCAAGGTATCTGAAGGAGCATATTTGATGCAAATTACCTGGGATTTGATGGCATTTTGGGGGTTTCATGACATGCTGAAAATGAGCCACACTTACATAGCTGTCACTTACCTTTCTGTGCTTTTGTCAAAATTAAAGCTAAACACAGATAAAGTGCTTTCCCCCCCAACCTGGCGGTATAATTTGAGTATGCTGAATAGAAATGGATGGAGACATGATTTTACAGGTTTGTCCTTCAGTGCGTCCAGGTGAAGAATATATTTTAGGTTTTATAATCCAGTTCTTGCCTGCCAAGTTAACATAAATTCACATTCCCTGCTGACGTCCACTTTACGTGAAACTGCATTTAAATTCTACTTTTCTTACTCTGGCAGAGCGGAGTAAGGAAGCAATTAAAAAAGCCTCACACAGAAGGCTTCTTTGTCATTTACCCTTTTGTAAAGTTCACCTGACAAATACTGGCCATACTGTATCTTTGGATTGTGAGATGTCTCGGCTTAAAAAAGGGTCATTGTGGACAAAAGGCCTTGTGTTTTTCTGTCTTTGAATTTCCACTTCACTGACACCAGTGTACCAGTCTGTGTTTGCCAGAGACGCCTGCATGTGATCAATTCCAAATGCAGTCAACTTCCAGGGAAAAAAAGGGGAATAGAAGGTGACAAGAGCAGCAGTAGGACCTCTGGTTTAATGCAAGTGCATGTTACTGATTTAAGTGTCCTTACAGTGAACTCTGTCCGTCTCAGTCTTTGTTCCTGTAATAAACAATGGAGCATTGTTACAAGGTGGGCGAGGCTTTGACTGAGCAGAGATCACAGGGGAGATGATGACATTGAAGTAGGCTTGATAAAAATACTGTAAGAAACACAGTGGACAGCAAATACGCCCACACACAGCGTGTCACCCGGGCAGTAATAAGTGCCAAATATCACGGACACGTCAAATTTCTTCACACTTCAAATTTAATGCACAAACTTTTTCATTTAATCTTCATGTAGATTTTTGGTTTGAATGACTTTTAAAGGTGTTGAAGGGCAGGCATATGCACAGAATTCACACTTCATCAGTTTTTTAGATTACGAGGAGAAGTTAAAAGTAATCTGATTCATGTCTTGCCCTGTATGAGAATAGAACTCTTTAATTCTTCCAATACTACACAAGTGGGATTTATGAGGGCTTCATTTGTCATTTTGACCAGATTTTATCCACACTGTGACGATTTTTATTCAAAAACTTTCATATGTCAATAACTTTATAGCAAAAGAGCAGAACCTTTTGTGTAAATGTATTGTTTAATTAGTTCATTATGTCATACAGTAAATCCTTTCCTCCACCACTTTGACTCTTTCTGTGTTGCATTTTTTCTCATTTCCAGCTGCTTTCTGCTCTTCGTCTCCTCTCATGCATGCGCAGGTCCTTTAGCTCATTCATTAGTCATCCTTATCCTTTCGGCACCTCTTTGCTCACATGTGTGCACATATGTGTGTGTGCGTGTGTGTGTTTGAGTGTGCATGTGTGTTTTGCATTTCTATATGCAGTCTTTCCGCTGTGCACTTGTGCAGCAAATACGAGTCGGTGCGGCTTTCGGGGTGTTTGCATGTGTGCGTGTGCGTCTGCGTTATCTCATTGTGATCCAAAGGAATGGCGCAGCTGCCTGTTCAGCTGATTAGACTGTCAGAGTCACTTTGCCCATACTTTGCCAAAACAAATACACAGAAGTGCCGTGATACAGGGAGAGGGAAACATCCAGGCCACTTTACACACAGCTGTGCCAAGCAAAACACATCGGACCCCCGCTACAAGACCGGCAAGACAAGTGACTACTGACGCAGGCACACACTTCCATTTGTGTAATTTAACATGCGGAAAACTTCATTTATTTAGTTTATTCATTAACCTCCATCCAGCGGATTATTTAACCTTTAAATTAAAACTAATACTGAAAACAATGTTCACCCTTAATCAGCGGACTAAAAGAGAGACTACAGATTCAATGTTAAAGACTGACCCAGCTTCTTATAAATGAGGTACTGGGATTCACAAGACAGTGAACACAACTTTGCTATTAGCAGTATATCCAGGTGTTTTCTGTTCCAGCTGTTTTGGTGGTTTGACCACTTAGGGGGCTATTATTTTGTGAGTAATGTTAGCAGTAATATGGATATGTGCGTTTTCATTGCTGTCAGCAACTACAGTAAACCAGAATTCAATGAATGACAAAGTTGCATTCATAAATATAGGGCCTGACTTGTCTAGTAAAAACAACTCTATTACTCTTATTGTTGGGAATGTGAAACCAACTACTGGTTACAACCAAGGGGCAACATCTGAAGCTGAAAAATGAAGTGTTGAAATAAGTGCAGTTCCTCTACTTGCCATTTGAGGCTGGCTCCAAAATCCCCATAAACTCACATGTTAAGATGTCCAACTTTCAGCATTAAAAGGAATCATTACAGCCTGGCTTAAACAAAAGGTCTGTGCTACTAGATTTGGTCATTTCTTCATATAGTATAGATCTCTGTATCTTCCAGTGCATACACAGGTCGCTTAGCACCTTCTGTTCTGTGGCTTTAGTGGTTATGAGTTATGAGTTTCTGCCTTTGTAATGACTCTGAAATGAGTGACATTTTTCTGTGATGCAATCATTGACAAGTGTCTCAACTAGCATCTCACAGGCTTCAACACTACTTAAAGTGATTAAACTGGACCTGTTCACGGTGTTTGTGTGCTGTTGGAGATTTTAATTTTGATTCAACTTCTAGGTTGGTGACTGCATCTACACTGTTACTTCCCATTTAACTTTTACAAGACATTTCAGACTGAACGCCTTCAACCTCCCATATTTTTACAATCCTTTCTATGTCAGGTTGACGACACAAATGGGTGTGTTTTCTCCACCAGTTAAATAAATGGATAGTGTCTCTTTGGGATTGTTCATTCTGATCCTAATCCTAAGAATAAAATAATAGGCTGCATGCAAAAATAACAGACAGGAACAAGAATTTGACTTTCAGTTTGAATTAGATCATCTGTCCCATTAAGATAAACAAAGGAAAAAAAAATCCCATTTTGTCCTTGATTGTTATAAATGTTTTGAAGGAGTGACGCCGCATTAAAACATAAAATCATCTGTCCTGGACATTGAATCATCAAGGTTATTTGACTTGTCCGGGGTTTATTATTTAACATCAGATAAAATTTTGCGACACAGAGCTGTATAAAACACTTAACGTCTAAAAGTGTTTGGTCTCGCTTCAAACATCTTGGACAACTAGCAGACCTCATGTGACACCATGTTGTACTTGGCTATGTCCCCTCTGTCCAGTCAAATAATGACTGGGCTTCCTCTCTCACCATTCAACTCTCCCACTGGGGGAAGTAAGCATGGGAATCACGCTCTCCCATTTCATCTTTTGTTGCCTTTCATTCCTCTTCTGTTTTCGAATTTATCTTTTCTGGTTTTATTTGCTTTTGAAAATTACTGAATATTCGTCAGCCAAAGAGAAACGGTCTGAGAATGGAGGGAGATTAGAAGACAAGCGGGGAAGATAAAGCAGAAAAAAAAATAAAGACACAAGGATAGACGTAACGAGAGCTATTGCCTACAATTATAGCAATTATTACAGTTAAAGTTGATGTAAACTACCAATTAAAATGAGACACATGGGGCAAAATGAGCAGAAAAAGCACAGGCAGTAAATTTAGCTTTCACTTAAAGAGCTCTAGTGAAGAGTCTGATCCAAAGGCAACGCACATGAGAAGACTAGAACAGGTGATATACAAAGAATCAATTTTTCAACATGCTTTCAACCTTTTTAGTTCACTTGCAGTGCTGTTACGCTGACAGGCATTTACTATTTTTCCCAACGTGCATGAAAAGTAACTCTTTTTAGGCCACGATGGCGAGCGGAAATGATTTAGCA